CTGTAATGTAGAGATCATATCCTCAATAATCTCCATTACCATTCTATATTCCTAAACAGTATGACAGAACAATTATGCTTGCCTACGTTCAGGCATTACCTCTGATGGTCATACGCCCAGTACAACATGTGTTGTCTGTCAAACAACAATCGACGACGGGATCCCTTCTCATCATCTCTTAAGCCATCGGTTGTCAATTCACCCACCCCGTTTCCCTAAAAATAGACGGTCAGATTCGGCCTTTACGACCCCTCTAGATTCGCCAGAGACGGGATCAGATCGCAGTTATTGCACCCGTCGGCCGTCTTAGTGTCTTTAATACTATATGACAGCTTCGACCACGGACGTCGGACGGGGTGATCGTTCCACGAATGTACGCACCATCCAGGCCTAGGATGCATCGAGGTTTAAAAGATTGCAGTCTGTAGATCAATCAACATAACAATGGTGGTATGCAACCACATTAAAATATCTCCCCGGCTCCCGCAACGTTCCAACGCCCCTCCGTTATGCATTCGCCTTGTGTGTCCGCCGAGCCGGCTTGCCTCCAATGACGTCATCGGCCGGCCGGCGGCGTTCAAGGTCAAACGGCTGGTGTCCTTACCTGGTATATAGGGCCTTGGACACACCTGGCTCGGTAACTGGGAGCTGGTTGAAAGCTTGCACAGCCCCATAGCACAGCCTGCGTCGTCCCGCTTCCGTTCGGATGCGTGGGAGAGCAAGTTCAGAGGCGCGTCGCGTATTATGAGCGTGTCTCTGTCTCGCCGTCTGACCGAGCGTGTCGGCTATTTCCTCGGGCTGACCACTGACAAGAACGCTGCGCAAACTACACATGCGGCAGTACATCGCCATCTCAGATGCAGTGAATCACCCCATATCATGGAATACATCGGAGATATGGTCCCGTTTTCGTTTCCCGGACACTACACGTGCACAGAAGTTCAGAATCTTCTGAACGCGATGTAACTGGGTCTGGCCACAAGTCCCGTACACTGACATGCAATATCTCACGATTGATATAACAAGAGCTTGAACTATTGGCTTCAGCGCACGCCTTGGGATCACATGTCTCGCATGTCTCAGCGCAACGAGGACGCCGTTGCATTTACCTACGTGTCATCTCGTCAATATGTGACTGGTAGGTCAGGTGTCTGTCGATGATGACGCCGAGGTTTTTCACTACTCTGCTGTCGTTTACAGCCGCTCCACAGAATTTCAGCTGAACGGCGGGCATATGTCGCAGCATAGCCGGCGTTCCAATCACGATCATCTGTGTTTTAGTCGCGTTCAACTTCATTCCATGAGAACAGTACCAGTGATATAAAGAGTCCAGTGCCTGCTCCATCGTCTCTACCATGCTATGAATGTCCTGCTTCTTACCCGTTACCAGGAGTTGTGTGTCGTCGGCGAACTGCACAACGGTCACGGATTCAGGTACGTACAGACTGAGGTCATTTGTGTACAGCGTGTACAATGCACAACTGAGCGACCCGCCCTGGTACACACCGATACTGTTTGGCTTTGTCTGTGAGAAACACACGCTTCCGTCACTGCGGCGTACCTGCACTTGTTGCGTATGGCCTGACAGATAGTTCGCAAACCATTTCGGGTTCACACCGTACAACGCTAGTTTCTCGAGCAGCTTGTCGTGCGGCACAACGTCAAAAGCCTTAGATAAATCGATTAGCACAAGTAACGACACCTCTCCGCTATCCATCGCCCGCAGAACCTTGTCAGTGACGACGTGCAGGGCAGTGTCAGTCGAGTAGCCTCTCCGGTACCCGTGCTGAGTACTAGACAGCAGGTGGCCATTCTCGAGGTAGGTGACCAGCTGTCGTTGCACTACACGCTCGACTATTTTCATCGCTGCAGGCAATATGGAAATCGGTCGCGTGTTCGATGGCTCACTGCTGACTTTGCCTTTGGGTATAGGTGTCACCAGCGTATGTTTCCATTCAGCTGGTATGTCGCCGGTAGTCAGGCACGAGTTGGTTATATTCAGTAGAGCATGTCCTAGTCCTTCGAAAAAATTCTGCATCATATGAACACTGATGCCGTCGGTACCAGTGGACGTGGAGCTCTTCATGCTAGCAAGGGTCGCGAAGAGCGTGTCCATGTCGATGGCGTGTACACAGAAGTAGCTGGTTGAGACACGCGGCAGCCTCACCGGCACAGGGTTGGCCGGGGTAGGAACGCTGGCCGCTGTAGTCCGTCCTACCGATACATAATAATTGTTGAGAGCGTCAGGAGTAGCGTTGGGTATCGACGAATGTTTGCTTTTAGCACCAATGAGCGGCCGCAACACTCGCCACAGGTCGTGCGGCCGAGCCTGAGCGAGCTGCCTCTGAAAGTGTGCCTTACAATCCTTACGGATCGCCGCGCGGCACTGCCTGTTGACGTCCTTGTACTCTGGCAGGTCGTTACGCAGCGCCACCTGGCGACGGTCAATAAGCCGCTTGGTGTCGGCGCTGATTGGCGTACTCCTGATCTGACGCTGCTGTACTCGTCGGAGAGGGGCCACTTCGTCCAGCATCGGTAGAAAAATATCCAGAAACGTCCGCCACTTCTCTGCTGTGGTCTGGCCATGGATGAGAGGGGTCCAGTCCGCGTAGAAAAGACGTTGGTTGAACGCGTCGTTATCTACTCTCACTAGGTTGCGGCGATGAGAGACTGGGCCAGGTCTGTTAATAGGCCGACGGATGGGTCGCAACACTATGCGAGTAAAGTCGTGCGGGGTCCCGTAGTGGCACCTAGTGACTCCAGTGCGCTAAACGAGATCAGGACACGCGACAGCGACAACATCGAGCAGACTGGCAGCGGGCCTGTACGTGGGGTGAGTCCGGTTACACAAATGTAGCCCATAAGAAGATAACATTCTCTGAAGCTTATGACCTGGACTAGCAGTGTCACATTTCAATATGCAACAGTTCAAATCACCGGTTAGAATAATTTTAGCGTTCGGGTAGGACGTAATCATATGCTGTAGCTGCCCTTCAAGATCGTCCAGGTCGGCCGTCAGCTGTCGGGATGTGTTCTGCGGCACACGATATGCTGATGCTATAAGGAATGTCAGACGTTTGTTAGCGTGCACAGCGATCCACAAGATCTCGAGGTTAGAGTCTGCGATTCCGGTAATTGGTGCACTAATCACCTCATGACTATATTTATCACGTATCAGGAACGCCACACCGCCGTGACCCCGAGCCAGGCCTTTCCTCGGGCACCTATCGCATCTAACAAGGGTGTATCCAGCGATCGTCAACAGGCGGTCTGGAATACTTGACGTCAGCCACGTTTCGGATACGGAGAGCACGTCAAAATCGTACACGTTGTGAATATCGTGACGCAGATCGGGTAACTTAGGCTTCATTGATTGGATGTTGATGTGTCCCACGATGAAATGGTCGGAGCTGATGTCCCCGTGACGGCGCCAGTTGGTTGTTGGTTCCGCCTCGCCTGCCACGGCGCCTTCCTCCGCCTCTGCGACCTCGCCGGGGCCGCGCGCCGGCCGGCCCGCTGCTGTCTGATTGGTCGGCGGCACGCGCTGGCCGGCCAGCGGAGCGTCCCACGGCCACCAGCTGACCTTGGGCCGGTTCCCGCTCCGAGCGGCCCCGGCTCCGGCGGCCCGCGGTACGAGGGAGGCCGGCGTCCCCCAGCCGAATCAGCTGATCGGCGGGGTCACGGGCCAATGGTCGGGCGACGACAGACGGACGCCGGGCGCGGGGCCACGGGCCGACGGCAGGTTGAATCGCTTGCAGCAGAGTGCAGAGCGACTGTATGAGAACCACGGCGTATAGCAGGGCGAAAACGGCTCCAGTCGCACGGCAGCGTTGTTGGTACGTACGCGCCATGTCAGACGGTCGGTGGTTGACTCTGGTGGGATGATGTTCGTTGCAGATGCTGGCTGAGGCCTGTTGCAGTCACTCAATTCACTTCACCGCAAAGCCAAAACACATTACGATCACAGCACAATCCTTGACGGTCACAGCACAATCCTTGCAGAGCAGCTCCCTCCATCATTACGAGTGGGCCGTTACAGACGGAGCAGCTCCCTCAAATGCACCGTGGGCCGTTACAGACAGAGCAGCTCCCTCCATCATTACGAGTGGACCATTACAGACGGAGCAGCTCCCTCATATGCACCGTGGGCCGTTACAGACGGAGCAGCTCCCTCCCTCATTACAAGTGGGCCGTTACAGACAGAGCAGCTCCCTCCATCATTACGAGTGGGCCGTTACAGACGGAGCAGCTCCCTCATATGCACCGTGGGCCGTTACAGACAGAGCAGCTCCCTCCATCATTACGAGTGGGCCGTTACAGACGGAGCAGCTCCCTCAAATGCACCTGGGCCGTTACAGACGGAGCAGCTCCCTCCATCATTACGAGTGGGCCGTTACAGACGGAACAGCTCCCTCCCTCATATGCACCGTGGGCCGTTACAGACGGAGCAGCTCCCTCCATCATTACGAGTGGGCCGTTACAGACGGAGCAGCTCCCTCATATGCACCGTGGGCCGTTACAGACGGAGCAGCTCCCTCCATCATTACGAGTGGGCCGTTGTTGTTCCCTGTTCGCGACTGCTGCCCTCACCAGGGGCGGATCCAGGAAATTGCTCGGGGGGGGGGCATTCCGAATCGGGGGCTCCCCATCGATGAGGGTCCTACCTACCCCTAAAATTTTAAGACCGTATTTCGCCCACTATTTCGAATCTGAGGTTGCCCTTATTTATTTTGTTTTCCTTAATTACGCCTGAGGGGCTCCTGAGTAGTCTGAGAAGTCCCTTGATTAGTTTTCAGGGGCCCTTTGAGTAGTCCGAGGCCCCCTGAGTTGTATACAGCCACCTGAGGCATACAGCCACCTGAGGCAGAAGGTCATTGAGAGTCTGAGACATACAGCCACCTGAGTCAGACGGTCACTGAGACAGGTGGTGATCTGAGGCAGACTGTCACTGAGACACACAGTCACCTGAGACTGACAGCCACCTGTGTCTACTCCGGCAGCGCCCTGGAACCTGACGTCGGGCGGCGGCCCGAGCCGGCTGCCACCGCCGCTGCCGGGCCGGTTCATGGGCGGACCGCCGGGCCGGTTCATGGGCGGACCGCCGGGCCGGTTCATGGGCGGACCGCCCGGCCGGTTCATGGAGCCGCCGTTCCGTCCGAACCGGATCCCTGTCATCCACATGGACGACGACCAGGGTGAGACGTGGCGCCGGCGCCGACACACCTGCACTTAAACACCGCGAGCTGACGGCGCTCACATTATTACCTTTTTTCTTCGGGTTAGGCCCTTTCGGTCCAATGAGACCAGTTTAGGGCCGGAAGGTTGATAGGAATTAGGGGGGGGGGGTATTGGTGTGGGCAGGCAACCTAGTGAGTCACCGGGGCTGAGCCCGTCCGAATGGACAGGCCGACCAGCCCCAAAGTAGGCACTCATTGCACCAGGCTACGGGTGTGCTCCCTCGGGAGCAGCGGTGCCGCTCCAAGGGAGCAGACCGCATGAGATTAAGTTGCTTGTCCAGCCCGGGGGAGAGTTGCGGCATGGAGCAGCAGGATTTGAACATCCTGAGGATGGAAGCGAGGGACGAGTCGGGGGCTTACACGTGCCATCTGTGCTACATGGACATGTTTTTGACGACGTTTGGTAGACACCCATGGAATGGGCACATGCAGTTCAATAGCGCATTGATCAGTGGAATTTCAATGGAAATACGTTAGTTTCAGCAATCAGTAATCCTATATTCTAATGCACGTGCTCACGTGCAGAATGCCGCTTTCAGATCTCAGGAACGGCTGGGCCGATTGCGTTCAAATTTGGCACACCGCTAGCGACCGGTTAGAAGGGCGCTTTGCCCGTTAGAACGGTGTCCGTTGGAAGTACCCTCTCGCCCTTCCGCACGTGCAGGGCTCACAATGTCGCTCGCTCGTTCTTCGCCCAAAAGGCGTTTTACTGGTTTTTAGCACATGCCATTTTTGTCATACGTGCTAAAAATGACAACGATTCTGCTATTTTTGACAACGATGAAGCCGATTTCACTCATCAGCAAGGAAATCACGATTTTGGAAAGATAAGCACTGATTTTGGAAAAGAAGTGCTGCCACCTGGTGCAAAAAGAAGAAGCCAGCTTTAAAGGCCTGGCTACACTATGCGTTTTCTTCGTGCGTTTTTTGCGTGTTTGCGTGTTTTGCGTGATATCGTTCTAGAAAAAGGAACGATATTACGTTTTCGTGATGTTTTTCACCTTAAATTTTAGTTACATAAGAGTTATATTAGCTTTTGTATATAATCAAAGTAAAATTTTTATTGTTTATAACTTTTTTCCTAGAACGATATCCCGGCAGTTGCTGGGGTATTTCGCCACCCACCGTTTGCTGGGGGGGGGGGGGGCGTTAAACGCCCCCAGCCGATAACTCGAGAACCAATAGGCGCAGCGAAACGCACGAGGCGGCAAACGAAAGAACGCGACGAGACGCTTCAGATGAGTACTTAAAAATTGAATTTTGAGGTCACAGGTCGGGTCAAGGTCAGGTCAAACACCTGAAATCGGGCTTTCAGTAGCATGGACTTCAGGACTTCGCAATGGGCGCCTCTCGTCATAAACTCTGTCAAAACGGTGCACAATCCATCATATAAGGCCTACAAGAGTGTCAGCTCCATGTAGGGGTCAGTCAAGCATAGGTCAGGGTCAAGGTCAGGTCAACCGGGTAGGCACATATCCCCGAAAATCAAAACTGATATTCGCAGCCTGTGACACATGTTTTATAAGTAATTTGGGGCGTAGAACACGATGGTGACATTCATTTTATCATATGTGTTCGTGTTTGGCTCAAAAAGTTCAACTTAAGAAATGCATGTATCATGGTCGTGAAGTAGTCACGAGAAATTGCCAAGATTCAGTTCAAGCTTATGGAAAATGCGGAACGATAATCAATAATCGAAGGTAGCCATTTGATTGATCATGGTATTGGCAGTCTAATGGCGTTTACGGCATGTCTGTATGTCTGTTTTGTGATTTTATATGATTTTTTGAACATATGCCGTTTTTGGTCGAAAACTCAGAAATCATGACGTCACTAAAACCTCGATATCTCAAAAATTTTCCGACCGATTTTTTGAAACTTTGTCACAATACACTTCAATCAATTCCCTACAGGTACCCAAAATTTGGCGCGCCTGCGGCGCGCCGTTTTTATGCTATGGCCCGGCGAAAAAAGTGGGGGCGTTTAACGCCCCCCCCCCCCAGCAACTCGCGGGATATTACGCAAAACACGCAAACCTGCAAAAACGCACGCAGAAAACGCATAGTGTAGCCAGGCCTTAATGTGCCCAACTTTGTATGGTAGTTTGTTTTGTGGCCTGAAGTTGGAACTTAAAATTGAAGCATCCGAAAATAATCGACCTATTGATCGAAAACATGATGTTGATGAAAAAAAAATGATATGTTAAATTGAGAGAGGAGGCCATTTTATCCAGATGCGGTGGTTTACTAATTACTTCTTGAAATTATTTCTTGCTGATGACGGCCGCGCATCATCCGTCATTACATGGCGGTCGTCATAAGCAAATATGATTTCAAGAAGTAAACCACCGCATCTGGATAAAATAGCCTCCTCTCTCAACTTCACATATTATCTCTTCAGCAAAATTATGTTTACGTTAGCAAAATTATGTTAGGGTGGCGGTCCGTCCGGAGCTCCGGGGAGTTATCCCACAGCTCTCCCCGGACGGGGAGGTAGCCAACAGATCTCCCCGGGGTCGGGGCGGACATAGCCAATGGTGCCGTCCCGGCCTGGCCGGACGGGCCGCACATACAACTGTGGATACGCCAGACAGTTGTGAATCGAAAGTGTCCTGTTTTATATTGTGTTGTGTTGGGCTATTGTTATGTAAATAAATATTATAAAAATGTTTTCGATCAATATCGATCATTTTCGGATGCTTCAATTTAAAGTTCCAACTTCAGGCCACAAAAAAGGTATACTTCAACGTTGGACTACCATACAAACAACGGCCATATTTAAGCTGGTTTCTTCTTCTTGCACCAGGTGGCAGCATTTCTTTTCCAAAATCAGTGCTTGTATTTCCAAAATCGTGATTTCCTCGCTGAGGAGTGAAATTGGCTTCATCGTTGCCAAAAACAGCTGATAGCGTTGTCATTTTTGGCGCATGGTTGCCAAAAATGGCATGTGCTAAAAATGACAACGATTGACCAAACCTCCACTGACCGATAGGTATATGCGCTGTTGGCTATGTCTGCAGACTGATCACGGCTGAATACCAGGCCGCACACTGAGGACATCTATCGGAGGTGCGTGTAACTAACCGCCAGCTATCTGAACCAGCCCGCCCCTGTTCCAGACTCGGAGGACACCATTCTGGACATTGACATCACCGAGTGACGTCACACCGGGTGTCGCCCAGTGTGACGTCACACTGCAGAGCTGAGCCTCCCTGAGTAGGAAGCGGGCGGACCGATGTATGACGTCACGTCAGCTGGCCGGCGCCGGTGCCCGCACCACTGCACTGGCCTCCAGCGGCGGCGAGCCGGCACTGCGCGGCCGGGCGGCCGGAGCTGCCCCGGCACCAGGCGCCCCGAGCAGCTGCCGGCGCCCCGAGCAGCTGCCGGCGCCCCCAGCAGCTGACGGCGCCCCAAGCAGCTGCCGGCGCCCCCGAGCAGCTGCCGGCGCCCCCAGCAGCTGCCGGCGCCCCGAGCAGCTGCCGCTTCAATACCGAGCGCAGACGAGCCGACGTCCCGACCCGGGCCGCGCCAGCTGTTATATGACACAGATGAACGCCCAAACTGCCGACCGCGCCGACTGCTGTAATGGCTGTTAAACGAAGATATTGAAATAAAACGTCGGAACGGAGACCGCCTTTATAAATGTCCCATTAAAATACAATGAATTGTATGTAGTATTATTGCACGTGACCAGTGTTCTCCCCGCTCTGCTGGGCGGGCTGGCCTGGCGCCGAGCACCACCATCACAGACTCATCAGTGGCGGCGCTGAGGGTGACGTCATCGGCCGGCCGGCCCGCCCCGAGTGACGTCACCGGCCGGCCGGCCCGATATGGCGGCGCTGGATGCCCGGACGGGGAGGGGGGAGGAGAGGGGCGGGCACCGGTCCAGGCCGCTCCAGTGGGCGCCGGCAGAGGGAGGGGCAGAGGGGGCAGAGGGGGCAGAGGTGTGAGTCAGGCGGAGCGGTGGGCTCAGAGCCGGCCCCCGGAAAGCTGCCCAAACTCAGACACTAGGTACGCTTCCATGGTACAAGTTAAGCCGATCTTGTAAAATGTTTTTTCTCCATCATATCATTTAGACATCATTTAAAATTGTTTATAGGATTAACCCTCGCCCATATTGGTGTTTTCACAGATGGTGTCTTCATGCATTTAGGCCAGGTCGGGTCAGGTCGGGTCAGGTCAACCAGTAGGGTCCTACCGGGTATTCGTAGTGGGTGTCAACCGCCTCTGACAGCTTCGTAACATATTACGAAGTCATCAGTTTTTTTTTTTTTTCGCAATACCTCGCGAGTTTTTTTTTGCGATAGAGAGCTGAAACTTAGCATACCTGACCCTTGATCCAATCCGCATCTTGTGACACCCTCTGCATTTTCAGGGTAGGTGAGGTCACTGACCTATGACGTCATACGTGAACCTCAGCACGGTCCTCAGATGTCGCAACTTCGCAGCGCCCTCTGTGCCAGAGGAGCTTTTACAAGGAGGTGAAACTTGCAGGTTGTAGGTTGTAGTATCCTCCAGAGTTCTCACAACTTGCATATCTCGGGTTTTTTTAGCACCCCCGTGTTTTTCGCAAATACCTCAAAAACGGTATCGCGAACCGTCGCTGTTTTTTCCTCCTTATCATACATCATGTCTACATATGTTGTGAAAACAGCTAGTAGGTATGTGCAAAATGCATACCTCGGAATTTTGATATCAGTGATCCAAGGTCAGGTCAGTTTTGCGACGTCCACAGTCCCCATAATAAGTCAACGGGAGAAAATTGAAAGACGCCTCTTTTGGACAAGTCATTCTAAACACTCTCAAACACTGACTTACACGTAATTCTGACACACTAAGCATGAAAATGGCACATGTGATCCCTGTGTATGACCCTGGGGTCATATCAGGTCACAGATCTAACAGTTTTTTTTTTCACGAAAAAAACTTTGGATAGAGGCATGCTAGAGCGATGAAAACGCCTTAGTTCGACGTGTGTGTTCAGCTCGACGATACGGATCGACTGAAATGCAGCATGGCCCTTTCCAGTCCGGTCATGACCTTGACCTGAGGTCAAATTTTCAAGTTGACCTTTCGAGGTCAACTTATAGTTCATGCGTCTTGACGAAAGGAACACGATGCCGGCAAAAATAAGCTTGTGAAAACTTGAGCCAAGAGATATTGCACAAAAAACTGCACCGCAAAATTTATTTCTTTTGGCAGTTTTTGTCCTCTACAAGCAAAACCGACAACCGTTGACGATATGTCAAATCTGAAGACAAATACATAATAAAAAAGAGCATTGATAGGACTATCGAATGCACCTTCCGCGGCGCTGCAGCTCTATTGGTTCCCGAATTATGTGTCGGCTCCTTTAAAGTTGTCGACAGTAGGCCTGGAAATCGGCGAAATTTGGCCTTCAGCGACGTTTGGCCTGACCAAAGAATTGACTGAGGTAGTTCCGCAATTATTTTTGGCGCCTTTTCGAACATCGCCTTCCATGTATCGCTACTTGGCCCAGGAGCCGAATTAGAAGGGGGATGTTCAAATACACCCCCCCCCCCAGCAGGGCTTGGAAATTCAGGACCCCTAGCTGGGCGCGGAATAAGTGGTAACATGCTAAGAACAAAGAAAAAACTGTTTGTATGTTATCATAATCTTTCGTCCTTTGAAAAAATCTGGCTATGCCAAATTCATGTTGATTTAAGCGCTTTCAATATTAGTCAGGGGAAGGAGGCCCAACTTTGGGCCGAATAACGCAAAATTGGGTAGAGCTTAGCAAAGGGTGGTTTCTGGGACAAAAATGACCGCTGAATCCGAATCTGACCGGTGCGCACCTCTAACTAATGTTGCACCACTTCCAGAGCACGTGCAACTGCGTGGTTCATCTTTTTTGGAGAATGGTACCTTTTTAATGAATTGCAGTGTAACGTCGTTGATATTTGAGATATTGTTTTGAGATTTTGTCCCTGTGCTACAAACACATGGCGTAATTGAAAGCTGAAGTTTTGCAATGTTCGGGCAGCCGATGACGTCACCGTGACGTCATTTACCTATAAATGGGTTGAAAAAGTCGTCTTGTCCTTAAGGCATTTAACTTTATTCCCGTCGTATGCAAATCAGGGAAGGGAAAATAATCAAACATGATCTATGGACATTTCTGAGTCGGATCATGCTAAAATCGTTTTTGCAGAGGTACATGTGAGTCACATTGAGAACGTGACAGTCCAAGTCACCACCTGACAAATTTGGTCAAACTGGATGAAGTAGTACAGCAGATTGATGAATCACGTGAAATAGGATATTTTCATATCATTTTTACCGTGTTCTGGCGCTACGACGGCATTTAAATCAAAATACTGTTGGCGTTGAATTGACTAAATATCGTTCCTTTGGTCTTATTTATAGTTCAAATTGTATAATTTTTTATTTATTTCAAGTAAATATCCATTCTTATGAATAACGGAAAGTCAGCGTGGGTTCAGCTTAGTCGTTACGTGCGTTTGGCTAGCGATAAAAAAAATGATCCAGAATTGTGCTTGTCATGAAGACTGGGAAAGAAAATAAGAAGCTGTGGTTTATCAAAAAGGGCAAAAATCACCTTTGTAAGAAAGTGAAATATCTTAGATATTTGAGGCAAACAATCCAAGATCGAAGCGAGACCACACGATTGACGATGCAGGAACAAAACAGTACCTACAAAAATGATCTGAAACCGAATCAACCGAATGGAATGCCTCCTCATAAACCTGTTTTGTGTGAAGTGCATTTTCTTGGGACTACATTGCAATTGCAAGTGAAAATTCATTTGTATCAAAGGAGCATGGATTAGTGATTGCCCTATAAAGCTGAAGCTTGGTGACACCTTCAACATGCATGCGGCTCGACACCATCAGATGCTCTTGGAACACACATGGAACCGTTTTAGACAAAACTGCAGAATGCAGATTGATGATGACGGTCGCGACGAGCTGAATATGGAGCTCTCCCAACTCGCCCGTCTGAGTCCAAAAGAGATTGAATAGTACCAGCATGCGGCTGCTGAAGAAGGGAGAGCTGGAGCTGGCAGTACGGGCCAAGGAGCTGGCAGGCCGGGAGTATGGATGCCTGACGCGACTCCCTCCGGACGATCCCGCTCGGAAGCTCATTGATAAGACACCGCCACCTAGACTACATTACAGAGCCCACCTCCATTGGATGCGGAAGAAACAGGAAGCCCAGGAGGTGGGAGTGCCGGCGCCGTCGCCGCCAGATGAGGACGTTGCTGGCCTCCAGCATCGACCCTGTTTCCGACGAGTGGGGAAGTGGGTGTGCGAGGAAGCTGGACTGGGTGGAGTGCCCGTAGCCCCACTAACCCTGCACCACGGAGAACCGCCGTGGAAGCAGTACAACACCAACGTCCACTTCGGCTTACAGCTTCCGAAACCTATCAAGAGGACTGACCCACCAGAATTACGGAAGACTGCAACCCTGGAGGCCCTGGCCGCCTACCCAAATCAAGACCTCACAATCTGGTCTGATGGCTCTGCCCTAGACGGTACCAAGAAAGGCGGCGGAGGAGCCCTCCTCGAACTGCACCGTGAGGGACGCAAGATCAAATGTACCATACCGGCAGAAGTCGTATGCAGCAGCATGCAGGCGGAGCTGGCGGCGATGTCGGAGGCGTTAAAATGTTTCCTGGGACTGCACGCTCGCTGCCATTCGCTCTGTCCTGTTCTGCTCGGACTCCCTGTCTGGCCTCCAACTGCTCAGCCGAGGCCCAGCAGCGCAGGAATCGGCCCTGACACAGGGCATCTGGGTTCTCCTGCACTCTGCCGCGGCCGGGGGCAGAGCTATCAGTCTCCAGTGGATCCCGGGCCACGCGGGGGTCGAGGGTAATAAAGAAGCGGACCGCCTAGCAAACATCGCGGCAACATCAGGCGACCAGCGTCGGATCCCAGTTGACCTGGCCTGTGCGCGCATCGCCATCAGACACTGGGCCGGCCGGCTCACCCTCGATCGCTTCAAGCATCACCCACATCTGGAGAACACCCCTGGCCACGACGACCTCGACCGATGGGGACAGACCACTGTCTCGCAGATCCGCAGCGGCTGCTCACCCCTGGTCCGGGCCACACTCTTCAGGATTGGCCTGGCCACCAGCTCTCTCTGCGGACAGTGCAGCGAAGAGGACACGGTCGTGCACCTGCTATGCGAGTGCCTGGCCGCGCAAGAACGCGAACCTGGCTCTGGGGGCCGCTCCCCACCCTCTAGGATGTGCTCTCGGGGCCGGCTAAATACGTCACGGAGTTCCTCGACCGAGTGGGGCGGATCACGCCACCTGTGGACCAGCCCCGGTCTGCCGCGCCCTAGGGCACGGCCGGCAGTGCGCGGAAGAAGAAGAAGGGAGAGCCGGCTGACGCACCGGAACAGGTGCATCTATCCGAGTCCTGCGTCAGAACGACCAGTCGCTCTGCTCCGTCGACCTGGCCGGCGACTTCACGTACCGGCTGGTTGGCGTCGTACAACTTAACGGCGGTGCCAAGCACTCGGGATACTACCTATGTGCGTATGCCGCGTGGCGTGTACTGTACAGAATGGGACGAAACATATTGTATCATCACGACCAGACGCGTCCGCTGGATGGACGAGGCAGACGTCCTGGGCGAA